TGAAACAAAGCGTTTAATTTGCTTTTGGTTAATTATTTGATGAGCTCGTTGTCGAGAAAAGAGCAGGAGACAATCTAGGTTTCCCTCCTTAAAACTTGTCCGTCTGTCTGTTCCGCTGTCCTTCTTAGTTAATCTGTCAGTCTGTTTGTTTTTTCAGCCATTTCCACTTAGTTTCCCGCACTTTTTCCGGGTAGTTTGCGATCATTGGGCTGATTTTTGGGGTGGTAATGTACCTGGATGAGTTGGACATCAAATTAGCATTTCGTTCCGCTTTCATAATAGCATATTACGGAATTCTGTATGGCATGTCAAACGTTGCAATATTTGATAATCTTGTGATGTATATTCAAAATCTTGTGATGTATGTTCGAAATCTTGTGATGTATATTCAAAATCTTGTGATGTATATTCAAAATCTTGTGATGTATGTTCGAAATCTTGTGATGTATATTCAAAATCTTGTGATGTATGTTCAAAATCTTGTGATGTATATTCAATATCTTGTGATGTATATTCTAAAACTTGTGATGTATATTCTATAATCTTGTGATGCATGTTCGAAATCTTGTGATGTATATTCTATAATCTTGTGATGTATATTCAATATCTTGTGATGTATGTTCAAAATCTTGTGATGTATATTCAATATCTTGTGATGTATATTCAATATCTTGTGATGTATATTCGAAATCTTGTGATGTATATTCTATAATCTTGTGATGTATGTTCGAAATCTTGTGATGTATATTCGAAATCTTGTGATGTATATTCAATATCTTGTGATGTATGTTCAAAATCTTGTGATGTATATTCAATATCTTGTGATGTATATTCGAAATCTTGTGATGTATATTCTATAATCTTGTGATGTATGTTCGAAATCTTGTGATGTATATTCGAAATCTTGTGATGTATATTCAATATCTTGTGATGTATGTTCAAAATCTTGTGATGTATATTCAATATCTTGTGATGTATATTCGAAATCTTGTGATGTATATTCTATAATCTTGTGATGTATGTTCGAAATCTTGTGATGTATATTCGAAATCTTGTGATGTATGTTCGATAATCTTGTGATGTATATTCGAAATCTTGTGATGTGTGTTCTACAATTCAGTGATGCGTGCAATAAAATTGCATGACGCAACAGAAAAGTAAGGACAATTTTCATTGGTTAGAAATAACGAAAGTAGCTGAAGCGTCGGGAAAACCATGCAGGTGAGAAAAAACACAATCATCAGTTTGTTTATTGCAGCACTTATTACGAGCTGCACGAGTGTTGTTCCTGGTGACATGATGGAGATATTTCGGCCTGCTAGGGAAAAAACTCAGTAAACGTAGATATATTGACAAAATTTGTAGGTACTTGTAACGATATGTCACGATGCTGCATTGTCAGATACAGTATTTATACATGCATGCTAAAAAGTTAAATCTCGTAGTAATCAATATAGCAGAAGAATAATGAAGAGTACATACTACAAAAACTGTGCAATTTGTAGCAAGATTAATTTTTGTTTAACAGCTGTTTTTATTACATTTTATTTCGTATTATTACTACCAAATACTGCTACCGTTTGTTAATGTTATGCACATGGTTATCTTGTACTTGCAAGTAAATGAAACATTTAAAAAAAAATAATGAAAAAATAAGTCTTTTAGGCTATTTGATAATAACATGCTAAATGAACAGGTTTTGCTTTTTAATTCTCCTTCACTCAGTCTTTGTATAATGTATATTTTTAGACGAGCTGATCGCCAACCAGGAGATCAGAATGATCGCATCTGCTCCTGCCACTTTAAGGATGGTAAGAAGGAGGGGGACCCTGCATATTTTGCATGGAATGAAGGAAAGGCCATGGATTTCTCTGATCCTGAATGTACAAAAAGGTGAAATTATTTTTCAAAATGTGACCGACATCTTGTTTTTGGATGGTGGGTGGGTGGAGTTTAATTGAGAATATTTTACTAAAAAACTTTAAAAGGGTACATGTATAAACAGAGTAGCTTACAACTGAATAAAAAAATAATTCAAGTTTAATTATTTTACAAAGGAGGAAAAAACTCAAAAGTGAGGAGTCCCTGTCATCTTCACAGATGGACCAGTTGCAGATTCCACAAGCACCAAAATGTCAAGATCAAGAAAAAGTAAAGCTCATTTAAAACACCAATGATGACAAATGACCAACACTGAAACATTTTCAATAATTTTTAATAATATATAAAGTTCTTTTAACTGTACATGATTTACAATATATTTTCAGTTGATATCAGAGCACAACTACTCAGTATCCTGCACATTTAACTGTACTCAAGAAATGCAGCGCCTCTCAACAGAAATACAACTGAAAAAGGAATTGCTTGCCCTAAAAATAGAGTCTAGTAAAAGGAAGCCAATATCAATCCACGATATTAAATACAACAAAGAGAAGGTACATTTAAAGGAATTCCAATTGTGATTTCCTATTTCCTAACAATTTCAGTTACTGTAATAAAAACTTGTTGCCATTGAGGGATGAACATCTTAGATTGACTGTTATGTTAACATATTTTGTTATTATTTGGGAGTGTTAGGTCTCTGATCAGCAGGGGCATTTTCTCTATATAAGAAGAAAATGGAGACTCCCTACCCACCCGATGTATTTTGTCGGACAGTTTTCTGTACATTGCAGGTAAATTTTTTATTTATTAACTTTCCAGCCTCTTATTGTATAGTACATTTTGGGGTTTGAAGTCAGTTTTTGCTTTTCTTTAATTTTTAAAAAAAAAATTATTTAAATTCTCCTTTTCTTAGAATAAAATTCAAAAAGTAGCTTCTGATTGTAAAGTATAAGACTACAGACATTGAACTTTGATTTGTTATCAAAAGGATTGATTTAAACTTGTCTAAATTAATTGTAAACAAAAATAAAAGGGGGCACCTGCTATTTCTTTAAGCGTTTTTCACTGGGGGGTGGGGAAACTTTTTTGTACATACTTGAGCAATAGGAGGGATTAGATAAGAATCAATTAGTATATCAGAGTCTTAAATAATATCCTTTGCATAAGCATAAAAAAATTCTATATCAGTCTTTTTAAAACCTTTGAATTTTGCTTAATTAACTACGATTTATCCAATTTTGGAGCTTTTTACCTAATTCTGGGTAGAATCCACCCTTATGAAATTATTGACTCAATTTTGACTTAATATCACTTTATTAACATTAAAGCACAAAAACAATTCATTGTACAAATATTTTATTTCTTACAGTCACCAATATATCCAAATATCATCACCGGCCCAGACGTCATTCACTCCTTTGAATTGTGCTGGTAGCAGTAAGGTGTCATCATTTGAGATGGTCACAGTATCCAATACACTGAAGTCACAGGACTCAAATTTCATACATGTTCACAGGTAGGTGTATAGTCTTTGAAATTACCACAATTGACTAATTCTGGGACAGGTAAGTATGTAAGTATAGGAATGAGAGCACCAAATCCCCGGATGCACACATGGCTTTGTTTGTTATGGAACATTAAACCGAATACTGAATGGGTAGGCGTTACGCCATTGGCTGAAATCAGGTATTTAATTGTTTTCATTTTAAAGTAAAATTAATGACCTTTGAAATAAATGATGGGATGAGGGAATATTACAGAAACTATAGAAATGCCAGGGAAGATTTTAGGAGTGGGGGTTGATTTTTTATGCCGCGTGTTCTTTACTGCGAATCTCTAAAAGTTGAAAATAACTGCAATTTTGACCTATAAACGCCATGGGACCATGTATTTTTTTCAGTATTTTTTGTTAGGGCTTAGAACAAAGTTTGAAATGATGCTAAAGATTTTTCTGAAATTGTCATAGTAAAGTACTGAGAAGGCCTAAGGTTTGTATGGAGTTCTATGGGAAAATAATTAGTGGACTTTTCCCTATACAAGATGCTGTCTGATGGCGTAGTGTAGAATGTAGCGTAGAATGTTTTCCAAGTCAGCTTAAATGCAAAGGTTTGTTTTAAAATTTATCATAATGACTTGCAAAAATTTAATGCAGTTAAATTTATTGTATTCTTGAAAGATTGACTGTAACACAATTTTTTTACACAATTACAAATAATCAAATTAATTTGTTTCCAACTTTTTTTCAGGGTCTCTGCCAAAATCTTTTGAGGATTTTTCCTCTGCTAGAGCATCCATGGATGCAATTGAAACAATCCAGGACATCCCAACACATATGGATAATCAGGCCATGGCCTACAGTATGTACAAAAGTTGCCATACTTTTAAAGCAGTAACTTGCGTGCCTCCAAATGGTGCACTTACATTTTGCTCCATGCTGTACCCAGGTTCTACTTCTGATGTAGCTATTGTACGTCACAGCCAAGTTTTACGAAAGTTCAAAGCTGGAGACCTTATTTTGGTGGTCAAAGGTTTCACCATTCATGACCAGTTGCCCCAGGGTGTCTGCTTAATTATAAAAGCTCTTTTATCGACACGAGGCCAGTTTACCATACAAGAAGCAGCACTGTGTTACAAGATTGCTAAAGCACTTATTCATGTGGAAAGAGCCAACGAGAGGATAAAGAATTACGAGATTCTCCGTCACATACCATCTACTTACAGACCAATCTCAACAAAAATATTTCAACTCTGTTCTTGTCTTGTAAACTTGCAAGCTCCACTTTTGAAAGAAATTACTTAAAGATACATGTACTTATTATAAATTTGCATTGGCGTGTGACAGTATACACTAAACAGTGAAGATATTCATACCAAAGTGCAAGGGATAAGCAAATTTTGATTTGTTATCAATGTCAATGGTTATATTTGTTAACTTTGTAGTATGTTGTAATACATATACTTCAGAAAATGAAAATCCCTTTTGTTAGCATGGATTTATTACAAGAATGTTTGGCAATTCCATTCTTCATTTGACAATATAATTTGGAAGAGGGTTTACTTATAATTTTAAATCTCTAGTTTAAAGTATATTTACCTTTAAAGCACAACTCAACAAATTCATGTTTTCAACAATTTATCTATTAAGAAAGACCAAAATGTTACATTTTCACTTTGAGAATAACATCTTCAATTCATTAATAAAATGATTCTAAATTTTGATATTCTTTTTTTATGTAGTACATAGATTTTATTAATCATCATTGCTATTTAAAATAGTCTTATAAGCCAGAAGTTTTATGATGGATTGTGACATATCATATCATACATTTATGAGACTTAGGAACATTCAACACATTTAACATGATTACCCATTTTCCATTGTTAGAAAATTCTAGAGGTACAAAACTAAGTGTCAAGAAGTTCAAACCAGAACTCAGTTTTCCATCAGTGCTGGAATGAAAATGTTAATGTAGAAATCTATCAGCTTTGGAACATTTGCTGTCCATTCAATGTCTTTTACTATTCTAATCACAATGCAGTCTACTCTTGTCCACACAATTAAGTCGCAGAATGTTTTGTTACATATGTGTAGCTGCATGGCCTTGAATTTGATGATAGTATGGGTGACTGGTTTTCAGGCACAGGGTATCTTGTTTAAGATCTAAAAAAAAAATCAAAAAACACTTAAGTTGTGTTATACCAGTACATATCCCCTCCTTTTTCAATATCTTCATACCATATTGAACAGCTGCACTTGTAAATTAATACATGTTTTGAAATCATTTACTCACCAAGATTTTTAATTTCAAAGTACTGGACAATACAGATTTTTAATGTTATTTACCTATGAAAAATCCTTCAAATTTTGTGCCTCATCTGCTACTGTTGAAGACGATGCTGTATATGGACACTTCACCTCTACAATATTAGGAATGGCGTCTTTGGCTTCTGGAGTTTGATAAAATACACTGCATGTTGGTGGTCGAACAACTAAGCCATCAGGTGAAGCTCCCAACACTCCGGATTCATGCAACCATATCCTTTTCAGAAAAAAATTATAATACTACTGAATGCAAACAAACCATAATACAATTGATTTTGTAATGCAAACAAAGTCTAAGTAGAGCTTTTATAATCCTTCCACTTCAAAAAGCAAATTTTCTGGAATATGTTGGTAACTGAATATTTATGCCCCGCCATGAATATGGCCGGGGCATATAGTGTTTGTAATGTCCGTCTTCCGTCCTTCTGTCCTTCCGTCCCACTTTGTGTTTAGCTCTGTTCAAAGCTAAGATTCAAAGAAACTATCCAAGATATTTTCATCAAACTTCATATGCTGATAGATATTGATGAGAGCTATGCAACTGCATTAACATTTTTTGACCTTGACCTGACTTTTCTTAAATAGTGTTTAGCTCAGTTTTAAACATACCATTCAAGATGGTGTTATCAAACTTTACATGTTGATACAAACTTGCATAGATGATGCATCTAGAGATGAACACTACTGGACATGCTTCGGATGCTGGATCTGACCTACATTTTCCAGATGAGTGACCAAATTAAAGTTTTTGGAGCAGGTCCATTCTTAAGGAACTATAAGCCCTACTTAGACCAAACTTGCTTGGATGATGCATCTAAGGATGGACACTACCGGACTTGCTTCGATGCTGGATCTGACTTACATTTTCATTCCCAAGTAACTATAAGCCCTACCTAAACCAAACTTGCATGGATGATGCAGCTAGGGATGGACACTACCAGACTTGCTTCGGATGCTGGATCTGACCTATATTTTCATTCCCAAGTAACTATAAACCCTACCTGAACCAAACTTGCGTGGATGATGCATCTAGGGATGGACACTACCAGACTTGCTTTGGATGCTGGACCTACATTTTTATTCCCAACTAACTATAAGCCCTGCCTGAACCAAACTGATCAAATTTTATACATGTACAAATTTCATGTTGCTTTACTAATATATCCTCGGCGGGGCATTCATGTCCTATGGACATATTTCTAGTTTTTTTATTACAATTAGACTTCAGTAATTGATTTCTGTTTGTCACCAGGATAAGTCCTGTTATTTGTTTTGACACAATGAATGTTAACATGTCAGAGATTGAAGGAATATTATTTTGTGCTGTATACCTGACTGCTCTACAGCTGCATCTAAGTCCTTTTCATACTTTCTCAAAGCATCATCTTCATGAGTGATACCCCATGCAACAGCCTTGATGGACTCCAGATTGTAAGCCGACATCAGCTGTTTCTTCAGTGACAATGTCAATCTGGAGAAGAAAATATGATTTTTGGTTATTAATCTTATATTTCCTGCATCTTTATGTACAAATATCTAGTCATTACAGTCGAACCTCATTATCTCAAACTCAATGAGACCAAGAAAAATGTTGGAAATATCCATGGATTCAAGAATAACACATAAATAGTTATCAAGAATAAAATGTCCCAGTCTTTTATAAATGGTTTGGACTTCAAAATTACTGTGACATATCCATGAAATATGAGATAATGGGTTTGAGATAACAAAGTTTGACTGTAATTTTAAAAGTCTTTTTCGCAAAAATTTAATCACACGTCTTACCGCCTTTGCTTAGAACTGAGAACTGCACCAAAGTTGGAAGCTGATATGCTATATTTCCTTACAATCGACCACATTGGGTTGTTTCGTTGCCAATGCAGCTCTTTTAATGGATTCAGGGATAATGCATGCTGTAACCATACCATAGGGGTATCAGAATGAACATACTCTGGTGATGTTAACAGGTCTTCAATGAGAGGTACAGGTGGACCAGGTTCACATGGCTCTGGTTCAAGAATCCAATTCAATGCTGAAAAATTTCATTACTTGTGTCATTCTCAAAAATATCATCCATAATATCCATATCACATATACCAAGTATTTATATAAGAGTCCATACATTTCATTTTAGTGAACACTGTCATGGGTTTTTGTAATGAATGCATTACATATCAAATTTACAACTCACTTGCATATATTTGTTCAGAATTGTTCCTGTATATAATTTTGCACAAACATGTAAAAATTGGTGCAAATGTACAATTAATATTTACTTAATTATTAACAAGGTTTCATAATGACAGAGTATTTAAATAATAGAAGAATGATCTGATAATTCGCAAGAATATGAAACAAAATATTTTTTTTAATGCAATTGAATAATTTATTTTTCCTTTCAAAAATGTATGCTCATGTACAAAAATGCTATCATATTTATAATATTGTCTTTCCAATTATTCAAAGGTTGTTATTAATATTTATTACATAATATGTTCAAAAATTGGGCAATATACATAGCCAACTATATTATACTCCTCATCTTTGTACATTTGTTCACAATTAAAATTAACCATCGTTCAGTAACAAAATAACAGTTTCATAATACTCGTAATATAAAAATCAAATCAAACTTAAATAACAACAATAGTGACACCAAAATCATAACTTCCTTCTTATATTTTACCAATAAACCTTCCAAGGTGCAAAAAACACTGGTCACTTTCATCAAAGGGTCGGTTTAAAGCACTTCAAATATGAAGCAAATTTTTTAACAACTGATTTATTTATATTTAATGATTGATCATTTTAAAAAAAAAAAAAAAAAACCAAGAGGCCCATGGGCCACATCGCTCACCTGAGCACTGTGGCTAGGAAAAAGTAAAAATTGGTTTTTTATTGAAAAGTTTAAATCCAAAAGTAGTCCCTTGACCAATCATGGCTTTGCTTTTCTTGAGAAGGTTATTTTTAAAGAATTTTCCTATATATTTCTATATAAAATTTGATCATCCTTTGTGGCCCCGTCCTACCCCCGGGGAACATGATTTGAACAAACTTGAATCTACACTACCTAAGGATGCTTCCATATAAATATGATCAATCAGGGTTTTGCTGTTCTTGAGAAGAAGATTTTTAAAGATTTTTCCTTTATATTTCTATGTAAAACTTTGATCTTCAATTGTGGCCCCGCCCTACCCCGGGGGTTATGATTTGAACAAACTTGAATTGACACTACCTGAGGATGCTTCCATATAAATAGGATCAATTATGGCTTTGTCATTCTTGAGAAGAAGATTTTTAAAGAATTTTCCTATATATTTTTATGTTAAACTTTGGTCAGCCATTGTGGCTCCGCCCTACCCCCGGGGGTCATGATTTGAACAAATTTAAATCTACACTACCTGAGAATGTTTCTCCATAAGTTTCATTTTTCCTGGCACAGTGGTTCTTGAAAACAAGATTTTTAAAATATACCATCAAATTTTCATTAATTCCCAATTATCTCCCCTTGAATGAGGGTGTGGCCCTTTATTTGAACAAACTTGAATCCCCTCCACCCAAGGATGCTTTGTGGCAAGTTTGGTTGAAATTGATCCATGGGTTCTAGAGAAGAAGTCGAAAATATGAAAAGTTTACAGACAGACAGATGGACAGACAGACAGACAGACAAACAGCTAGATAGACAAAATGTGATCAGAAAAGAGCTAGAAATGAAACATTCCTCACCACAAAAGCCAGAAGAATATAGGGACCACCACCAGTAACATGTTTCTGGGAAGAACCAAACCATGCAGAGATAAATATCAATAGTCCTGAATCTTCGATGCAGGACCAAGTACGAGAATTGCTACAAACACTACTCCGGAGACTTACCTATTATTCTATGATGTAACGTACTTTGTCCACTGCAGCTGGTTCCCTCATAAGCTGGTAGCGAGGACAGTTCAGGATGTCCTGTCAACTTTATTCCTCAACTTCCTGTCTTGGACTGAAAAGCAATAAGTGGAAATCTTTAGTGTTGCCTAGTGACTTTGAATTAAAAAGAAAGTTGCAAGATTGTGAAGGGGGGGGGGGGGGGGGGGTACTGATGTTGTGCATTTTAATTAAATGTACGAAATCTGTATTTCACAGTTTAATGCATTCATGTATTTTGTGAATTGTCTTAGGATTCATGTAATAATTGTTGCTATGTATTATTAAGCACTAAATCTATTCAACTGCATGTGTAAATGGGGAAAATGTGGATAATGTAAATGATGTATAATTGCAATGTGTAAAATGTGACATTTTCTTATATGAGGGAGTCTGTTCATGTAATTTTTTTTTCATTAATTATTTTATTTATCTTGATAAAATTATTTCAATTAACAATATTGTTTTTCTTACCAGTCTGATGAACTCAACAAAGGTTACAGAGGTGAATGGTAGAAATATGGGTATTACAGGTGTCAAAACTCTTCGTTGATGACACTGACTGCATGCCGCACTGTAAAACCACCATTTTGGATCTTTAAAAGGGGAGGCTACTCCTGAAATCAAAGAAATTGTCATAAAAATGAGTAACCTGATTTTCTTTAGGTCTCACACAAGGAAATAATTTCACTATATGTTACTATATAGCTTTAATTAAATAAATTAATTAACTAGACTCTCAGCAGATAATTCATGAATGAGAAAAAAGATTAATGCTTAGACAAAATTTGAGATCAGAAAAAATATACCCCTTATGCAGCTTTTAAGAAAGAAAATTGAGACTAAACATACCTATACCCCGAAATACACATGGGCAAACAGCCAACACACCATCAAGGAAGTTACATCGATCATGCGTACCTAAAAAAAAAAGAGTTCCCTTTGATTCAGTGGCACAATTCTGCTGATATGATATTCCTAGTGCATGAGTCCAACATTAAAACTGTAGACCTACGTAAAGTTCATGAAAAAAGAAAAGAAATATTATTGTCTCTATATACATCATACATAGAACTACATTTGTTCATTTTGATTGGCTATCTCCTTGCATAAGACCTTTAAGGGGTAATTTTATGATATTTACCATGTGCACTGATTGCCATAAAACTAAAGAAAAAATACCAGCCTTACAAAGTCACTTAACCATGACCTTTTACATACCTTACTAAGAATACCCTGGACAATTTGGTTTAACTTAAGACTTCTGAATTTTTAAATGCAGGTTTTGATAAATTAACCATTTAATATACTTATGAGCTCATAAAACTGTCCTTTTAAACTGTATGATAAAGAGTGTAAAAACTTTGAAACATGTTTGGAAAGTATTATCACACATGTGATATGGGATAAATTATCACCACAGAAAGATCAAAGAAAATCACTGCAGATATGCGACAATAATTCTTATCATTGTTTATTGTATGTCAAGTCTAGAATATGATATATCATTACAAATATTATGATTTTTAGCCGGGCACATTGCTCGTAGAGCAATTATGCTCAGCTATAGCGACGGTGAGCAACAGAAAATGCTGCTTCTTCACCGCCAAATTGAGTTTACGAGTAAAAGTATGGTACGTGACCAGCCGCTGTTGAGAAAACAAAATCACCTTAAGAAATAGTAAATTGAATATTTTTATCATAATATTAAATTGTTTAATATTTTTTCCTGGCTCCTTTGACTAATATTTTACAAAGTAATTCAACGGGTGCGAAAGGTTTTCACCAGGTATCCCTGTCTGCATCATATTCTATAAACAATATAATTAAAATTAGATGTTAGATCAGCTCGCATACTCAACACAATAACATCTAACAAGTCATCCCATTGAGGGTCACGTAAGAGGTTAAATTCGGAACGCCTCAAGATTTATGTGCTTCAACAATATATGATGATTTTGCCAGCTGCGATTTGATTAATTGATAGAATTTGACCTCTGACGTGACCCTCAACGGGATGTTGTTAGATGTTAGTGTAGCGAGTATGCAAGCGGATCTAACATCTAATTTGAATTAGATTGATACTATAAATAAAGGTTGTACTATCAGGCTAACACAAATGCAGGGAACATCATTAATGACTTGATGCAAATCTCACCGCTGAGGACACATCAGTGCAGAGACGTTTGACCTTAATCTTGCTGCATCGGTGTTTATTTACTTCTGTTTGTATATAAAACCGGATTACCCCAAAACGATACGTGATAAATATTTTTCGCTGTTAATTTCTAGCTATATTTTATTTTATTTTTAAAACTATTTAATATTATACATGCCATTGAGATATTTTTGTGTGTATTACATATTCTCTAAACGTCTGAACGTGATTTTAAACTGTCACCACAGTCCTTGTTCATTATCCTGTAAATGAGCCCGGCTCAATACATTTACTATGAAAATAATTGGACAAATTTGTGAATGACAATATTCAATGATGCATAGCAATTAATCTTTTCCTGACATTCACCTTCTCCTAAAAATTTGTCGTGTTATTTATTTATTTATTGCAAAGTCGTCCCTGGACTAGTGCTACGGTCAATGCAGCTGCATTGGGCCATGCAATTTCGAACCCTGCGTGGTGAGAGTTTGTCCCGAGACACAGTTAGATTATTCTAACTAGCACCAATATAGAATAAATCATACCGATTAATCAACATCACTACAATATGAGGACGTAAAAATAGGATAAAACATCCTTTAGTCCAGCAATAACTGAATAAGCCACTAAATTGTTTTTGATGTACCTTCAAACAAATCAAATTAATGTTCTTGATTCCCACTTTTCACGTTATGGCTGACTTAGTGCTTCTTGATACCAAAACAATTTTTCTATTACCTATAATTTTGACTTTAGGTTGAATTTGCCAATTTCATGCTTGCGAAGTTGTGTCAATGTGTGCATTACGACCGCTCCGGCTACTTTCGTTATTTCTAACCAATGAAAATTGTCCTTACTTTTCTGTTGCGTCATGCAATTTTATTGCACGTGTAATGGTTAGGGGCGTGGATATCGGCCTGGATAGCTCAGTAGGTAGAGCACCTGACTAGTGATATAGGGGTCCCGGGTTCGATTCCCGGTCCAGCCACGCATCACTGAATTGTAGAACACACATCACAAGATTTCGAATATACATCACAAGATTATCAAACATACATCACAAGATTTCGAATATACATCACAAAATTTCGAACATACATCACAAGATTATAGAATATACATCACAAGATTTCGAATATACATCACAAGATATTGAATATACATCACAAGATTTCGAATATACATCACAAGATTATCGAACATACATCACAAGATTTCGAATATACATCACAAGATTTCGAACATACATCACAAGATTATAAAATATACATCACAAGATTTCGAATATACATCACAAGATATTGAATATACATCACAAGATTTTGAACATACATCACAAGATATTGAATATACATCACAAGATTTCGAATATACATCACAAGATTTCGAACATACATCACAAGATTATAGAATATACATCACAAGATTTCGAATATACATCACAAGATATTGAATATACATCACAAGATTTTGAACATACATCACAAGATATTGAATATACATCACAAGATTATAGAATATACATCACAAGTTTTAGAATATACATCACAAGATATTGAATATACATCACAAGATTTTGAACATACATCACAAGATTTTGAATATACATCACAAGATTTCGAACATACATCACAAGATTTTGAATATACATCACAAGATTTCGAACATACATCACAAGATTTTGAATATACATCACAAGATTTCGAACATACATCACAAGATTTTGAATATACATCACAAGATATTGAATATACATCACAAGATTATAGAATATACATCACAAGTTTTAGAATATACATCACAAGATATTGAATATACATCACAAGATTTTGAACATACATCACAAGATTTTGAATATACATCACAAGATTTCGAACATACATCACAAGATTTTGAATATACATCACAAGATTTCGAACATACATCACAAGATTTTGAATATACATCACAAGATTTCGAACATACATCACAAGATTTTGAATATACATCACAAGATTTCGAACATACATCACAAGATTTTGAATATACATCACAAGATTATCAAATATTGCAACGTTTGACATGCCATAATTCTGTCCTTTTAAAGTTATAAAGGGAAGTGAAATATGGATATTGCAAAGAGTATAATCAAGGTCAAATTCAAAGCCCATATTACTGTAGGTCCGTTGACACAAAACAAATTCGGATTCTTTAAAAAGAATCAGGTGACATGGAGGACTAAGCATTGCCTTTTGACCCGATCATAACCGCTGTGTACTCCTTGTCATTGTCGGGCAAGAAAAAAAGTAGACGATTCAGTGCAACTGGCCTAACACTTAGTTTGAAAAACGCTAGTCAGCATTCACCTTTAATGATTTGTTGGATTTGCGGAAAAGTCACATATCGACCACATAGAACTCGCGAAATGTTGACTTTAAACAAAACAGCCTTGTTCATCAACGTGTTTGTCAGTACATTGCCTCGTTTTAGAAATGTACTTACGTAGAGCATGGTCTTGCATATCGAATCAACTTGGAGGTACGCAGCTAGGTGATAAGAATTTATTATTGCTAACTAAGTGAGGGGAATTGACGATAGAAAAGTTGAAGAAGTCATCATTTTAACGTTTATCGTGAAGTTTTGTTTTAGGTCACCATTACGCACTTTTTCTAGTTACAATCCAAAATATGAAACATAAACGTCCGACTTAGACGTTTTATTTCAAGTAAACTGGAATATATTTAGTCGTCATGAATGAAAGCAAAAACTGTTCATTGATAAATTTTAATTTCGAGTTGAAGACCAGAGCAAGTGTTTCTTTTTTTTCAATTATGAGTTTTAGAAAAAAAGCTACTTCATATGAATACAAAAATAGTCTGCTAATAATGGAGTGCAATTGGTACCCATGGGAATTCCGAAAGAATAAGAAGACTTGAACTCTTAAAACTACGCTGATGTTATGTCATTCAGAAACTCCACGGTCTTTTTAACATCGACATAGTCATAAAACCAAATCTATTTTTATAAAAAATATGGAAACAATTCGAATAACTCCTGTCACTAAATGACAATGACTACTAATACCAAAATGGCGCCAAATATAAAATCTGTCCATCTGATTCTTTTGGTGTACACATAAAATTAAATGTTGCGCTCAATGATGAACTGGAATTCTTGCTCCCAGACATTTTATTCTAGAGTTTCGTGTTCTTTAATTAGATAAAAGATAACTAAAACTAAATGTTGTACAATGATTTTCGTGGATGAATTTCAATATGTGATGCATACACGAATCATTTTTTTTTTAATTTTAAAAACAAACATCCAATTAAAGAAATTTAATTATAATATTGTATTTGAATTAAGGATGCTTTGAATGGAAAAAATCGTTAACACCAAAGCAAATAGATTTAGTTCTCAT